GCTGCTGCTGCTGCTGCTGATGATGATGATGATGATGATGATGATATTTCTCAGGGTAGCTCACAATTTGCACCTCCTCTGGAATGGGATCTTTGTCTGCCTGACTCCTGCAAGGGCCCTGAGCTGAACAATGCCTTGTATGGCCGTAAGTATACAATAAATATAGAGAAAGATGTTGAAATGGGTGGTGTTTGGGAGCCCAGATTGTAGTGGTAGGGGGAGAAGGGCAATGCGTAGCACTAGTAAGCCTTATCTGTTAGTTAGAGGTTTCAATCTGGACACTTTGTGTCTAAAATCAGAGGTTTTACTCCATTTTATAAGCACATTTTAATACCTTTTCTATCCTTTCCCATTTGTAAATGACCTTTTGTCATGGAGTTTGCGAGGTTTTATAGCAAGGCTGTCACCTCATACAACCTCTTTCCAGCATCATACTGAAGCGAGTCATGGACAAAACCTCAAAAGCCTACGTCAGGAAGACCCATTTGTGCAAACATGAAAAACAAAAAAGAAAACATTCAGTAGAAAAGAAGGGGGCCTAGGGGTGAAAATCATATTTAAAGTATGTACAAAAAAACAAATTTGTGAAAATCTAAGAAAAAGGAGAACTATATAATTTCTCTTGAGAAAAGACATTTTTAGTTGACTTTAAGATATAACTAATATCAAAAAGGGTGCTTGGGACTTTGAGGGATATGATTGTAGGTTCCAAAATTGAAGAAAACTAAGTTGCATGATCAATTTGGAAAACAATAACAACAATGATACATCATGACCCCAAGAGTATTAGGAATGGCATGTGGACAAAATGCAACTAAACGTAGCTTAAGTTTCAGAATTTTGAGAGCAGTAGTATCGTGTAAAGGGTTAAACTCTGAGGTACTTCCCAGGATTATACATAAAGAAACAACATTGAAATACAGAAACATCACACTTGACTTCACAATTAAACTGGAGGGGACGTTACTCATTCCATTATATTTGTATTGTTCATGCCCGCTATTCATGGACCATGAAAGTAGAAGCAGAGGGTTTTGGAAACTCTTTTTCCTTCCATGCAAGAACAACATATTCAATGTAGCTGCAATATCTAGATCCAAGATGATGTAGAACATACTGGCACCCAGTCATATAGCTATAAATAGTTAATTCTCTGAAATTTTGTAAATTTCATACTATGTAGAAGTAATGAGTTTTCTTGCAACACAACATCTTGCCAGGATACGAAGTGCAGATAAAGTGCTGGCGAACGCGTTGTAGCGGAATGTGTCTTCATAAAGCATTTGTTTCGAGTTGAACAGATTCGTCACCCGTGCCTCAAGGAAACTTTGACGTCCAAATAAAGACATGGAACAGAGTGGACATAATCTAGTTGTGGCGAGGAAGCCAAGTTCAAAACGGTTTTAGAACTTGATGTTATCATTCTCAGCGTGAAAACTTTGATATTCGTTCATTTGTATACAATTACATAAAAAGGCATTAGCGTACTTGGACTTCACAGTATGCGTCTTTCAAAGATGACAAGACAGCAATAAAAATCATTCAATGCTTAAGTCCATTAAGACTTTTTTCATTTATGAGACGATGTCAATGTAGTTCTCAGGAGACAAAAGTTAAAAAAAACCCTTTTGACATGTAGAACATAACATTGTTATTTAACAATGTAAATTAATGTACTTCTGTTTCTTCCTTCAGTGAATATAACCCAAGTTTACATGATGTGCCCAGCAGATCTGGACATCTCGGAAGACACTGCCGCCATTGTTGCTATGTAAGGCTTACAGTTACTCATAAAAAAGTATTTTTAGATTTAATAGGCTTAGCTCCCTTGGTACTGTTTATGTTTTAAAGCTGATAGATAACTTTTGATAGAAACTCATTGTGCTGCTTCTCTGGACAAAAAGTAACCCTAGTCAACGTGTAAGAGGCTAATTGCTGAGTTTATCCAACACACAGCCCCTCCCCAAGCATTTCTAAATAGTTCTCCGAACCCCTGCTGTAAATTAATAATTTTGGGCAAGCTACACAGCAATTAATGTTTCATTCCACACCTCTTTGACATAGGGAAGAAAAGAACGTTGAAAAATAGTTATTCTTTTCTGTTTACCCGAAACAAAAATATGTAGCATAAGAGCCTTCCAAGAAATAAAAAAGAAAGAACAAGTCCCGCCACTGTTCACTTCTCCCCTCAGCTTTCCAACACCACTGGGAATGCTGCAAACCATTTACATTTTGTAAAAGAAAAAAAAACTCAAGTTGGTAGCGTTTCAATTTGACCCAAAAGGGCAATCGTTGTGAACTTTGTGAAACATGTTTATTTCCTCGACATGCAAAATACCATCTTAGAATTGCCTCGTTTTATTACACCCCTCCCTGGAAAACACAGCACGAAACATAGTCTTTTAGATACTACCGGTGAATATCATAATAAAAATAATGTGTGTGTGTGTGTGTGTGTGGGGGGGGGGGTGCATGCGTGTATGAAACACCAAACTGATGTGCCAGTTTCTGGGAATAAATGACTAATCCGATCTTTTCTATTTACTTGCTAGAATTGAGTTTGCTTAAGCCGACTGACTTCTTACTTGAAACAAGACGATCGTAAATGATACATCATGAAATATCCATGTTATTAAATCATATTATTACTAAATTTTCGTTTCACAGTCATCCTCTCAATATGATACCACACTAGATATTTATGTTTTTAAAGTATATTAAACTACATGATAGTGGCGTCGGTAGCCTAGTGTGTAGGCTACCAGACTCGTAATCATGAGAATGCGGGTTCAGGGGTTCGAGCCTCAGGTCCTTGGGAAAGGCACTTTATACGAATGTCCCTCTTGGTTCGGTCCTTACGGAGATGAACGTTAACCTCGGAGGTCCCGCCTCTTAAATAACCTTACAGTGTTGATAGGGAGTTTTACCAAAACCATTTCATCATTTCAAACTATTATTATACTTTCTTTTCAGAGTCATCCTCTCAATATTTGGCCTCCTAGCGGTAGTCGGCACCTTCATGGATTTATACGTGAGGTTTAAAAAATCTGATAAGACCCCTTATGCTGTTATGGATATATCAGCTAAAAACGGTACTGTCAACTCCGGATTTGAAACTCAAGAAACGAAACTAAACGGTAACCTGGAAAACAGCAACTCTCAAATGACGGAACAAACCGCGAAAGTAACGATCAACCCTTTGAGTGAACCTCAGTTGATAACCCCCGGGCTGAATGGGAATCTTCAGACAAATGGGGAAATCGCATGGACAACAAAGACGAGTTTGCCTGATTTTAGGAACCACCACGTAAATGGGTCGATGAAAAATGTTGACTCAACCCAGGGGAAAGGAGAAAACACCGGAACCCAACCAAAGAAAGTGGATGATACAGGTAGACTTGGAAATTTAATCTGCAACAAATTTTCTTATAACTGTATCGAAATACTAAGTGTGTCGTAATTGTAAAGGAGGTATGAAGAATTCATCAAAGTGTTCGAATGTGGCAAGTAAAAATGTTCTTTAAGTTAAAAAAAAACCAACAACCCACACACTGAATTGATTTATCATTACCTCCACAGCATAATATTGCAACACGACCACTCTGTTCAACGAATTTACTTTGTAGTTTGAAAGGCCTGGAGCAGATGGCACTAAATCTGGAAGTAGCATGGCATGTTTCTTTTTATGAAAAAAAACATAACAAGGTTTTCCGTATGACAAAACCATTCCAATAAACGAACAATGACTGGTCCTTTCAAAACAGAAGTTCATTTACTGAACACAAAGGTTAAAGGTAAAAGAAAAAATAAAAATAGAAGATAGATAGTATAACATTTATTGAGCGTCGATGGACATTTTGGGTGGATATAACAGAACATTTGCATTCAAAGAATCAGCACCAAAACAAAAACAAAACAAATAACTAATTACATAGATGCACAACGATACACGTACAATGATACACGTACAACGATACACGTACAACAAAGGACAACTCACTCCCACAACCGTATGCACAGTGAGTCTGTGTGCATGAACTCTTTCTTCTCCTTGTTCCCCTCTCTCTCTTTCTGTTTTCCCTCTCTCTTTCTTTTTTCTCCCCCCCCCTCTCTCTCTCTCTTTCTCTCTCTCTCTCGCTTTCTTTCTCTTTTACCCTCTGCCTCTGTTTCACCCTGTGCCACCCCCACCTCACTCTCTATCTCTCTTTCTCTCTCTCTCTCTCTCTCTCTCTCTCTCTCTCACACACACACACACACACACACACACACACACACACACACACACACACACTCACACTCTCTTCTTTTCATCTATTCCATACAATTAAGTATGTAGTAAAAAATAACTTGTCATTAAGATATTGTTCAAATCGTAAGGTTTTCGATGTTATTCTGCTTAATCTAAAAGAAGAGGGGACATGGGAGTGTTTATATCTTGATGCTAACTGTTTTGCCTTTAGACAGAATGTTAGGACATTTGTGAATGTGAGGTTTGTCGATTTGTTAGCGATTTCATTTTACATATTATGATGTCGGTCGGAATGCAAGGGAAAAAAGTCCCAAAATTGGGCATTTTTAGTCAAATTGTAAAATGCAGGTTTAAACTTTTTTTTTTTTAATGTGTCATCTGCTGCGATTATAGCAATAACTATGCTCTGATTATTAATTATAGTATTCCTTCAATTAACATATCCTGTAGATCTGTAAATGAGGCAAGGATTACCTGGATACCTGTAGGTGTCATCTCTGACTTTGGGGTTGGCGTGTAATGACCCTCCATCTTTCACGGAGCCAAGGATTACTATGGGCAAAACTCATATTATCATGGGGACAATTACTGGGCATGGAATAAAACGTAATTTCCTTTCTCTTTTAACGCACTTTATACACACATGCATACGTACAAACACACACACACACACACACACACACACACACACA